GTGGCTCACAAGGTAGAATTTTTGCTCACAAGACTCCACAGCTTAGAGGGAACATTGCCTGTGAGGTAAGTGGGGCTGAGAGAGCTCTCCTAGATAGCTCTGAGAGAACTTGTGACTGACCCAAGGTCACACCAGCAGCTGCATGTGGAGGAGTAGGGGAACCAAGCCTGGTTCTCCCAGATTAGAGCCTGTGCTTCTAACCACCACACCAAACTGGATCTTTGGGTTTGCCTGGGTCCATTCCTCACTTTCTGCAGCAAAGGCAAGCAATGAACAACCCACCCCAGCTAAATTTACATATGTTATACTCCACTTCCTCCCCCCCAAAAAAAGCACTTTACAACATTGCTCTCCACTCCTCCCTGTGAGTAGGTTAGGCCGGGTGCATGTGACTCGCTCAAGGTCCCCCAGCAAGCTACCATGGCACAGCGAGAACTGAACTCGGGCTTCCCAAGTCCTAGTCAAAGGAGGAGGGAAGAAGAAGCGGAGGAAGCAGAAGAGGAAGAGAAGGAGGAAGGAGGAAGAGACTGGATTTATACCCCGTCCTTCACTACCCGAAGTAGTCTCGGAGGCACTTACAATCCCTTCCCCTTCCCCTCCCCACGACGGACACCCTGGGAGGTAGGTGGGGCTGAGAGAGCTCTTTCAAGGACTGCTCTTGAGAAAACAGCTCTGAGGGAACTTGTAACTGACCCAAGGTCACACCAGCAGCTGCCTGTGGAAGAGTGGGGAATCAAACCCGGTTTTCCAGATTGGAGTCCGCGCTCCTAACCAACAGACCCCTGCTGGCTCTCTGAAGACATGGGTCCATTGATGATAGAGTCTCTAAGTAAGCTCTGTCTGAAGCCTTCATTGCAGGAAGTGAGAAACTACAGGCATAATTTAGAAACCGCACTGGGCTGCCCTTCTCCACACTCGCACACCCTTCCTCATTTGAGAAAGGAAGAAAACTGGCAGCCGGTTGGTGCCAAAGCCATTAGAACTAGTGCTGAAATTGGAGGTGGGGTTTGGCCAGGCAAAGCTGATAGGTAGCTCAGAAACCCGTGAGCCATTATCTCCCATGTCTACCATCTTCCCAGCACTAAAAGAATTTGCACTGATGACTACATGGCCGGTTAGCAGGCATGCACCCCACCCAATAAGTTCTCCGTGTAGTAGAAAGAGACTTTCAAACTGTTCTAGTGAACCTGGGGGGGACAGGGGACGCTGTGAGAACAGACACAACACAGCAAAGCTTCCCCGAAATATAGCTTATTCAACACACCCACACAGTATATACCTACAGGCAGGGGTCATTTCCTGCAGGAGCGCACAGGAGCGGAGTTCCGGCAGTAAAGAGCCCAGGGGGTGGGCACATGCAACAAGCCCCGCTCCCTGCTCCCAGCAGCCCTCAGTCAGAGCAAGAAGCAGCCAAGTAAGTTGTAGAGCTCCCCCCGGCCCCCCTGGTCCAAAACAGTCCAGTGGCACCTTTAAGACCAAGTTTTATTCCGGTACAAGCTCTCCCTCCTCTAGGAGGAAAGATCTGCTTGCCGCCCCCCCCCCAATAGCTAGCAATCCAAAACAGTCCAGTGGAGCCTGAGTGGTGGGTGTTGCCTTCTGACACACTTCCGGTGATGTCAGGGGGCGTGGCATATGCAAATGAGTTACACTAATGAGCTCCTGCACCTCTTTTTCTACAAAACGACCCCGGCCTACAGGAGACTGTTGGGTATATTATGGGATGCTCACAGGAAACAGAGGTGAAGCCTGCTGTCCCTTGGCCAACGGCTGACATGAACTGGAAACTATGCCCCCCCCCCACGATCCTCTGTGGTACGTTTTATATATCTGATGTAGAAAAGACTGGAGTTTTTTTTTAAAAGTCAATACGGTCCTCCCACTCAGTCTCGGTAGCTGACCTCATGCCATTCACTTTGAGAATGCTTTACCGTACCATCTAGGTGTCGAACTCATTTGTTACGAGCGCCGGATCTGACATAAATGTCACTTGGTCGGGCCTGGCCACGTGTGCGCCATAAAGCGTAAGGCCAGGTACAGGAGATATAAACTGTATAACGGACAACAGCTTGTAAGCTCCGAGTTGTTGTATCCTCACTGCAAGGCCCCAGGGGCTGGGAGGGGGGTGCAAAGGAAACCCCACATGGGCGGACCGGAGAACCAGCGATGCAGCATTGGGCGGACGCTCCCATGCTGCTTGACTGCTGGGGATGAGGTTGTTCCGGCATGCTGAAGCCACAATTGGAGTGGCTTCCCCCACTCCCCCCCCCGAACAGTCTCCTGTTCCCTCCCTTGCATTAGTTGCTCGCTAAGAGCCCTAGGCGGGCCACTTCCGGCCCCCGGGCCTTACGTCTGACACCCTTGATCTAGATTCCCAAGTTGTCAAGGGAAAACTTTTACTCATTCGGAGATGATGGGATTGTTTTATCCAGCTTCCTATGTCTCAAAGGATGGCTTTTTAAAGCCAAGCTATGGGAGGATTCAGTTACTTGGGAGTACCGGCAGCCAACGGAGTGTGTGAGGAAACCACTAGCTTATGCTACATAAAACACTGAATACTGAAGGAGCAATACTGTTTTGCGGCGACCGCTCAGTGACTTTCGCTAGGCATCTAATCCTAAGAACAGAAAGTTGCCAACCCCCCCAAAGCAAATGACCCGTTGCTGAAGATGGATGTTAAATCCCGTCCCTTAACTGAGAAGTAAGCGAAAAGTTGTAACAAGAAGAGATTGGATTTATACCCCGCCCTTCACTACCCGAAGGAGTCTCAGAGTGGCTGACAATCTCCTTTCCCTTCCCCTCAGAATACAACTAGAAATAGGCCAAGCTAGAATCATCTTACACTGTCTGGCCATCTACCACCTTCCTCGGTCCTCCTACACTGTGAAATGTCCTGCCAGGACAAATACCTTTATCAGAACTACAAAATGTTAGCATTGTCTATTTACAGATAGCGGGCTTTGTGCAGGAGGAGGAGGAGGAGGAAGAAGAGTTGGATTTATACCCTGCCCTTCACTCAGAGTCTTAGAGAGACTTACAATCTCCTTCCCTTTCTCTCCTCACAACAGATACCCTGTGAGGTAAGTGGGGCTGAGGGAGATCTGCCCTTGAGAGAATACCTCTGAGAGAGCTGTGACTGGTCCAAGGCCACCCAGCTGGCTGCATGTGGAGGAGTGGGGAATCAAACCCGGCTCTTCCAGATTAGAGTCCGCCGCTCTTAACCACAACACCAAACTGGCTCTCAGATACATGCAGGTGACTAATTCCCTTGCTGGCCCCTTTACGCAGGCTAAAAGTCTGTTGAGTTGGATGCCTGAATTGATTGAGAGGCCTTTATTGGATGGGATCAGAACTATGACAAGTCCTCTAGTAACTGCTTATCTGTCTTGAGAGAGAAAGAGAGGGGGGGGGGGGCTTGTGCCTTGAAAATCCTAGCTCTATTCTGAACCTGAAAGGCAAACCAAATTTTCCACCAACTACAAGATGAGTGGTAGTTATGGGGAAAGATGCAAGGGGGAAAAAAAACCCCCAACTTATGAGGAGCCCACAGGGGTTCCACAAGCTCCACCCATGGTTTGTTGTAAAATCACCCATCTTTAGTCAAAATTCAGCAAGATGCCTACTATAGAAGAAGAAGAGGAACAGGAAGAAGAAGAGGAGATTGGATTTATATCCTGCCCTTCACTACCCGAAGGAGTCTCAGAGCGGCTTACAAACTCCTTTCCCTTCCCCTCCCCACAACAGACACCCTGCGAGGTAGGTGGGGCTGAGAGAGCTCTTTCGAGGACTGCTTGTGAGAGAACAGCTCTGAGAGAACTTGTGACTGACCCAAGGTCGCACGCACACCAGCAGCTGCACGTGGAGGAGTGAGGAATCAAACCCGGTTCTCCCAGATTAGAGTCCGCACTCCTAACCACTACACCAAACTGGTTTTCAAACCATTACAACTGGCAAATAAGTACTATAGCATATAAGAAGGAAAGACTGCAAAAGTCAAGAGCATTGATTCCCTCAGAGGCCAATACATCTTCCCAGGCGTCTTTTCTAAAAAAAAACAACTCAAGGTTTACCCTTTCTGAAGTCTCCGGGTTTCATAACATTGCAAAAGATCGTGCTATATTACCAAATCTTTGTTGCTTTGAAGTACAGGCCAGAAAAGGCAAAATATTTGCCTTTTTCCTAGCAGAATGTGAAAGAGCACTGAGAAGTGTGAGTACCTACACGTGGCATAGGACAGAGAACATAAGAGCCATGCTGTGTCAGACGAAAGGCCCACCTCATCCAACATTCTTTTCACCCATTGGCCTCGAGGACGCTACCTCAAGTTAGCTTGAGCTACCTCAAGGAAGTCCACAAACAGGAAGCTTCCAACAGCATTCTCTTTCCTGTGCCGCCCAGCGACTGATTTAAAGTGTCGTATTACCTCTGGTCCTGCAGGCAGTAGCTATCTGTCATGATCAGAAGCCATTGATAGCCCAGTCATCCATGGGTTTTCCCACTCCCCTTTTAAAGCCTTCCAAGTTGTCAGCCTTGACCACATCCTGTGGCAGCGAGTTCCACAAATTAACTATACGCTGTGTGAAGAAATATTTCCTTTTGTTTCGTATAACCTTTGTTCGGGAGCCAAGGGGAAAGCCATGCAAACAGTTCATTCCAGACGAGAATTTTTCACACCACTCTACAGAACACTCTTAGTTTTGCTAGTGAATAAGTACCACAGTAAAAATTGAGATATTTAAAGTAGTTGGCAGTGTACATAACATGTTGGCTTAACACAAAAGCAGAGTTCAATGTCAAAAGCACTCGTCTTCAGACTGTAAAATAAATATTCTCCTCTACACTATCTTTGCACATTGCCGAAAGCTAACACTACAGACTTGCACAATCCAGTTGTTCATGATGACCTTTACTGGGGATGAGCATGAACCGGGAGAAATCGAAAGGGTTCCGTTTAAACGGCTTTCGTAAGAGGTAAGTGCAGACAGAAGTGAATGCACGGGGGTGACTGGACGTGTGTGTTGAGGAGTGGGGGTAATGCTGAAGGTTGGTTGGAGTATTACTCCCACCCCTTCAACACACACATCCAGTCACCCACGGGCACTCACTTCTGGGTACACGCGCCGCCCCACGAAAGCCGTTTAAACGGAACCCTTTCGATTTCCCTGGTTCGTGCCCATCCCTAATCTTAACTGACTAGAACTGCCATTAAATCTTTCAATATTCAAGGATGCTACACACTAGGGTATTAACTCATGTAGCCAATGCAATTCAAAACAAAACAAAAAAGCAGCAGCGATACAAGGTTACATTTGGTTCTCCATGCCTTACTTCCGTTTGCTTTTTGTGTCAGTAGTTTGAAAAACACTAGAGGCCGACATCAGATTTTCTATATATTGTCCAAGAACTTGATTTTCTGATTTCAGTTTCAGGTTTTCTTCTTTAACGGCATCGACTCTGGCAGACAGATCTGTAAGCAGACACCTTCACCAATCAGTTTTAAGAAGAAGAAGAGATTGGATTTATACCCCACCCTTCACTACCCAAAGGTGTCTCAGAGCGGCTTACAAACTCCTTTCCCTTCCCCTCCCCACAACAGACACCCTGTGAGGTAGGTGGGGCTGGGAGAACTCTTGACAGAAACTGCTCTTTTTCAAGAACAGCTCTTATCAGAGTTATGGCTTGCCCAAGGTCATCCAGCCAGGTGCAAGTGGAGGAGTGTGGAATCAAACCCGGTTCTCCCAGATCAGAGTCCACGCACTTAACCACTACAACTATCTGTGCTGTCTTGGGTTTGCAACAAACTATACGTGATCTGGTCCATGGGGTCGGACTCAACTATGCGACTGAACAACAAATACATCACTACATCCAAAACCACAAAACTTTGTATGGATGCAACAAATCCACCTTCAAATCCCTGGTTAGCCATGAAGCTCCAAGACAAATGTGGACAAACACGACCTAATGAGAACAAGTATAAAGAAAACAATCGTGAGTGTCTGACCCACAAATCAATCCATCAACAAGACTTGCAAAGAAGATGCTTACTGTGTATTACAGTTGGAAGAACTACAACACAATAAACCAATTCCTACAAATCATAAGGAAATCCTAGTGCAAAGGCACATCGTCAGCCTCGTCTCCAGATTATATAACGACGTTTCAAAATTGAATCTTCCTCAGGAAATGTTAGAGTGGTACAGAAATTCCCTTGTTCATAAAGTGCTTTACAACAAGTCATGAAAGATAATACATTCAGATAGGACGCTGATCTCAGTAAATGTTCAGGCTCAAGTATGCTGCTAAGCTTCTAATGGATCCTAGGCGTCTATTGTGTTTTATTGTGTTGTAGAGCTTCAGACTGTAATACATAGTAAGCATTTTCTTTGCAAGTCTTGTTGACTGCTTGATTTGTGGGTCAGACACTCACGACTGTTTTCATTATACTTGTTCTCTCGCCATGAAGTTCACCACCCCGCCTTCAGAGAATCCCACGTAAAACACATACTGCAGACCACAAATGCCTGCCTAAGCTCCTACAATAGCACCCACGCAGTTATTGTACTGAATAAAATGGAAACAGTCCGAATGGAGTATTTTAGCTTCCTTAAATGCAGTGGGTGGAAAGGTAGAAATTCTCCCAAAAAGAAGAAGAGATTGGATTTATACCCTGCCCTTCACTGTGAGTCTCAGAGCAGCTTCCAATCTCCTTTCCCATCCCCACAACAGACACACTGTGAGGTAGGTGGGGCTGAGAGAGCTCTGACAGAAACTGCTCTTTTCAAGAACAGCTCTGACAGAACTATGGCTTGCCCAAGGTCATCCAGCAGCTGCAAGTGGAGGAGTGGGGAATCAAACCCGGTTCTCCCGGATTAGAGTCCGCGCACTTAATCACTACACCAAACTGGCTCTTTTTAAAGACAAGTAATGATACTCACAGGAATACATTAAATATACTGAATATGTAAACACATACAGCACTTCAAAAGAATGTTAACACACATCACAAAGTCACACAAACCAAAGAATGATGCTTCTTAAAGTAATACAATCCAAAATAGTCCACAAGCACCAGCCCTCCTAGGGGCGATAACAGTCCATAGAGAAAATACTGTCCGATATATCCCAATGGTATCGTAGACCATTTAGAAGAAAATCCTTCATTAAAGGGTATAGGCCCGGGACCAACATATCTAAGGGACCGCCTCTTCCCATATATGCCTCGAAGAGCTTTACGCTCTAGTAATCAACCTCCTGGTGGTCTCTGACCCAAAAGACCTACGTCTAGCCTCGACTGGGGACAGGGACTCCTCTGCCCTGGCCCCCACCTGGTGGAACACGCTCCCCATCGAGATCAGGGCTGTCATGATCTGGGCTGTGCCACCAGAGGCCTACTAGGCCCAGGGAGCCTGGCTAGCAGTAGGTGAGGCTGGGCCTACAACTCCCAGAAGCCCCTGAGAGGTTTTGGAGCCAAAATTGACCAATAGGAAAAGAAGAGGGCTTGGAATAAAAGATCTGGAGCAGCAGGAAAAGCTGTTCTTCTTCCCAGAGGGCAGACCCAGAAGGAAGGCTGCTGTGGGGAAGAAACCCTCATCCTGAGGGAAGGGTGAGTAGTCTAGTGCCACTTGGAATAGTGAGCTAGGGACAGTATATATTTAGATGCGTTAGGGCATTTGATTTCTTTTCACCCACTTACTGTTATTATTCTGCACCTTGTTCTTTGACCTCCTATAAAATAAACATTTTCCTTGTTTCACTCTGCCTGGTCCTCACGCCTGTTATTCAGCCAAAAGGGAGGTCTGAAGGTCTTGGGAGGGTGCTCTGGGCCTTCTCAAGGGAACCTAAATCCAGAGTGGTGGCAGCGTAGGTTGACACCCCACCTGAGCCGTGACAAGGGCCCTACGGGATCTTACTCAGTTTTGCAGGGCCTCCAAGACGGAGCTGTTCCACCAGACCTTCGGTTGAGGCTGCGGGTGTCCACATATGGCCTCCCTGAGGTTGCTGTCTCCTACCTACTGGCCACCCATCTACCAGCAACCGGCCATATCCATCGGTATGAATGGGTCGGAATTTTCACCAGCAGCTATAACTACTGATTTTAAATGTTTATAATGTAAATGTTTTATTGTGTTTTAAACCTTACTGTATTATTTAAGATGACGTGACCCGCCCTGAGCCCGCTCGCGGAATGGGCGGGATACAAATACGAAAAACAAACAAATAAATAAACATGCTATTTTGATTTAAGTGGCGTCCAAGCCCTCTTTGCGAATTCACAACCCAATGGTATCAAGTCCAGCGGGCGAAAAGACTTTCCTCCAGGTTATGGGCGACCCAACCTGTAGATTGTCAATGCGTTTGTAAGACTGCAACCCACACTCACACCTGAATGCACCTTGCCTGCTTGGACATTCGCCACATTAAACAGGGTACAGGACTGCTGTCTGTATCTGTAACCGTGCTTGTAAATAAATAAGTTACCCTCCCGGGTGAAAGCCACTGACCTTCAAGTGTATGTTGCAGTTCCAAAACCTGATTGATAAGCCGCGTTTTCTCTTCCAATTCCACCTGATTTTCAGCCTCAACAGCTGTTAAGAAAAAGATAAATCTTGAGAACAACTAAACCAGGGGTGTCGAACTCATTTGTTATAAGAGCCAGATCTGACATAAATGAGACCTTGTTGGGCCAGGCTATGTGTGTCATAAAAGGTAATGCCAGGTAGCAGAGATATAAACTTTATGGAGGACACAAAAACAAAAGGGGTGTTTTTTTTACTTGAAATAAAAACATGCTTAAAACATTAGCACTCTTGCAATATTTTCTTTATTTAACAGTGTCTGATAACTGACACCCCTTGCTCTGAATTATTGCATCAAAATGTCTGCGCTGTTACAATCTTGAGTATGCCGTTCAGGTGTGTATCCGTAAGCTGCAAACCTACGATGACGCAGCAGCAGCAGAACTGGAAGAAGAAGCAGAAGACAGCCAGTTTCACTGCGGGCTTGATAGAAGCCCTCCGGGGGCCTGATCCGGCCCCAGGCCGCATGTTTGACACCCTTGAGCTAAACATTGTCATGAATGAGTGAACACACAAACAAAAAAGGAGTAAAACGCCATCTACCATCCATATCTGCATTCATCATGGTTGAATGAACCTTCTGTCTTGAATTCTGTACTTCAGAGATGTGCTCTGTTTAAAGGGAGGGAAACACCATCAGTGGCATGCATATTAACAGTCCCAGATTTCCTAGCTTTATATTTTGTATGGGTTACATCTGTCATCCATACTCCAGCACACAAGGCTGAACAAACTCACAGACCTTTGAAATACTGCAGGGAAACCTTGTTTTTTTGATCTAGCTGCAGGCTACTTTGGTGTAGTGGTTAAGTGCACGGAATCTAATCTGGGAGAACCGGGTTTGATTCCACATTCCTCCACTTGCACCTGGCTGGATGACCTTGGGCAAGCCATAGTTCTGATAAGAGCTGTTCTTGGGAAAGCGCAGTTTCTGTCAGAGCTCCCTCAGCCCCACCTACCTCACAGGTTGTCTGTTGTGGGGAGGGGAAGGGAGAGGAGTTTGTAAGTCGCTCTGAGACACCTTTGGGTAGTGAAGGGCGAGGTATAAATCCAGTCTCTTCTCTTCTTCTTCTTCTTTTAATAGCAGAGACAAATTGGCAAATAAAACAACTTTCATAAAAGCAAATTAGAAGAAGAAAAGGAGGAGATTGGATTTATACCCCGCCCTTCACTACCCAAAGGATTCTCAGGGCAGCTTACCATCTCCTTTCCCTTCCCCTCCCCACAACGGACACCCTGTGATGTAGGTGGGGCTGAGAGAGCTCTTTTAAGAACTGCCCTTGAGAGAACAGCTCTGGGAGAACTTGTGACTGACCCAAGGTCACACACAACAGCAGCTGCATGTGAAGGAGTGGGGAATCAAACCCGGTTCTCCCAGATTAGAGTCCGTGCTCCTAACCACTACACCAAACTGGCTTTCAAAATATTACAACTCGTAAATAAGTACTATAGCCTATAACAATAGACACCCTGTGACGTAGGTGGGGCTGAGAGAGGTCTTGCGAGAACTGCCCTTGAGAGAACAGCTCTGAAAAAACTTGTGACTGCATGTGGAGGAGTGGGGAATCAAACCTGGTTCTCCCAGATTACAGTCTGCGCTCCTAACCCCTACACCAAAAGACAAAACACTCCATAGTGTCCTTTTTCCAACAGCAGCTGATTCACATGGTACTATGGGCATCCATAACCACTTGACACGGTTCTCTTAGAGCCGTTAGTGAACATTTTGCAGTACCTCTCCTAAAGTGATACATGCCTTGTGCCAATATTTTTAAATTCCAGTAATTTGTCAATTTCCAGTCCAATTAATCTGCTCACTGGGTCAATAAACAGAAGCACGGATTCCAAAAGCAGAAAGGTGGCTAAGGTTAAAATAAATCAGTTTGACCCTGCTGAAGGTAGCTGCCAGGCACCAACCGTGGCCTAGCTAAACAGAATACAGTTTAGTCGGTCCCTGGGAAGAATTTTATATACCACTGTGAATTGCACAGTGTGAGAAAAAGTGGAACATAAATGCAATAATAAATACTACTGTTCAGTGTAACACTTTGCAGTTTGCTTACCCAAATTTACTTAAAACTGCAATAACTTCCTCCTCTAAAGAGGGGCATTTCCTGTTATCTGTCAGGAAAGGGGAATTCCAAAAAAAATGCACAGTATACGGATGACTGGAATGAACATCAAGCTCCAAAAGCCAGTTTGGTGCGGCGGTTAGAAGCGCAGACTCATCTGGGAGAACCGGGTTCGATCCCCCACTCCTCCACGTGCAGCTGCTGGTGTGACCTTGGGGTCAGTTACAAGTCCTCTCAGAGCTGTTCTCTCAGGAGCAGTCCTCAAAAGAGCTCTCTCAGCCCCACCTACCTCACAGGGTAGGGGAAAGGAGACTGTAAGCCACTCTGAGACTCCTTCGGCTAGTGAAGAGCGGGGTATAAATCCAATCTCTTCTCTTCTCCCTATAGGGACGCCAGCCTCCAAGTGGGACCCAGAGATCCCCCAGAATTACAGCTCATCTCCAGAGCCAGTGTTCCCTCTAAGCTGAGTTAGTGTGAGCTAGCTCACAGTTTTTTAGCCTCCGGCTCACCCATTTTTGTCTCAGCTCAGGAAGGGACGGCTCCAGAGCCAACCAATGTATGCAGCAGCCAAACTGCCCGCTCACAACTGTCATGCCAGCAGCTCACAAAGCGGAATTCTTGCTCACAAGACTCCACAGCTTAGAGGGAGCATTCGACACAGATCAGGTCCCTTGGAGAAAACGGAGGCTTTGGAGGGTGGACTCTGTGGCATTGTACCAACTGAGGTCCCTGCCCTCCCCAGACTCCATCCCCAAAGCTCCAGGAGTTTCCCAACCTGGAGATGGCAACCCTCAATGCATGGGCAGGGTGGGTGCAACTGAAGTCCCTGCCCTCCCCAGACAACATCCCCAAAGCTCCAGGAGTTTCCCAACCTGGAGATGGCAACCCTCATTGCATGGGCAGGGTGGGTGCATGGGCTGGGCTCTTTCATTTCCCATCATGCTAATATCTGGCTGGTTCTTTGCTGCTGGGAAGTCGCCCATCCCTGAAGACCCTCCCAAGCGCATCTCCTGCCTCTCCAATAGGTGAGATTTTGCATCACCCCCAGATGAAGCCAGGTAGCAACAAACCCTCCCTCAGCACACGCTGGCCCTGCCCCACACCTGGCTTCCCTCCCCCTCCCCCCCAAGCAAGAGGACCTCTGGCCTGAGCATCCCTCCCTGCATCCCTCCCAAGCGCTCGCTCACCTGCACAGGTTCCCCGCGCGCTCCACCCCTAGTCCCAGTCCACGGACCCTGCTACGCCTGCGCAGTTCCCCGACCCGGCCACCGGCGCAGGCGCCTGGCGCCTTGCAAAACAACGGGGGCGTCCAAGAGGCGGGGCTTCGGGGAAGCGGAGCCCCGAGGCACCAATCGCGGCGCGGGCGAGCGGCCTGCCCCGTGCGAAAGGGCCAATGGGAGAGGAGCGACATCAGCCGACGCTTCCTGGGCCGTTCTGCAGGCTTTGGGTTGGGCTCTTGGGTCTTGGCGCCGCGGGTGCAGGAGGAGGGGGAGGTGGGGGAGCATCTCTCGGTTGCCTCCCCCGAGCGGGGGTCGGAGCCCAAAGCGCAGGCTGGGTTGAAAGGCAGCCTAAGGCGGGCAGGCTGCTGTGCAAAGCTGCTCTGGGGGGTGTTCCGATTGCAACAAATATAAGAACCGAAGAGAAGCCAATGTTGGATCAGGCCAGTGGCCCATCCAGTCCAACACTCTGTCACACAGGGGCCAGAAATACCAAATGCCATCAGGAG